GATTCATCCATGCCACCACAATAATGCTTTTAAATTTGTATATATTTTAGTATTACCTAGATGAATAGAATAACCAAAATAATGAACTTCATAAATATATCTTCTGAACAAGCTCGAAATCTGTTTGCATTCAAAGATGTATACATCACAATTAATTACGCCATGCTAATGAATGTTGAAATATTTTCCCATACTTTTCTATAATTGATTGATCAACTTCTAATATTCCTTATTGGCCTTCTGTGCAACTTTGAACATTTCTCCAAATTGGATGTACAAGCATCTAATGTAAGCTCCCTCTGGTAAAATCATTATGTAATTTGATTTCTAATTATAATGCCTCCATGCCTCTAATTAGATGTATTTTCTGAGTTAGCGACATCATATCCCATACATATAATCCCTCCAAATTTAGATGGCCAACACCACAACAAATAACTCTAAATCATATGTCGAATTATTCAACTCATATGATTTCAATTGTCTAGAACCATAAGCAATCATACATTTCATTTCAATTATTTTGATATAAAGATATATATCTCAACATTTATATATAAGCCTTTATAGATTAAAATACTAATGGATATAATAGCATTGTTTACTTATTTATGGCTCGTTTAGGATCCCTTTTGATTTTTTTATTATTATTATTTTATTTTGTTTCGTTTATACTTTGATTTAAAACAAAACATATTTGATATGGTATGATATATATGTCGAATTATTCAACTCATATGATTTCAATTGTCTAGAACCATAAGCAATTATACATTTCATTTCAATTATTTTGATATAAAGATATATATCTCAACATTTATATATAAGCCTTTATAGATTAAAATACTAATGGATATAATAGCATTGTTTACTTATTTATGGCTCGTTTGGGATCCTTTTTGATTTTTTTTTATTATTATTTTATTTTGTTTTGTTTATACTTTCATTTAAAACAAAACATATTTGATATGGTATGATATATTTAGTTGTTTTTAAAAATACTCGAAATAACTTTTGGATGTTTTGAGTATTTCTTAAAACAAACTCATTTATTTTTAAAAATAATAAATAAAAACATGTAAAAATTGCACTAACAAACATGTTTTTAAAATAGAAACAAAAACAAAAACCAAAAACGAAATTGTTTCCAAAGAAGCCCTTAATATACCGTAGCAAGTGTTATTGTCCTGTAAGAATTCCAAAATACCACTAAATTAGCCCATGCAACTATGAATTTCAAAAACTAAATTTCAAGAATAAAATCTTTCTTTTTGCAATCATTCGCAAATTGAGTTTGATCTCAAATTGTTTAATTTGAAGGATTAAATAAGAAAAAAATATTTTAAGCTAAAAAATGTTATTGTGAAGATAAATGACTAGCTGTGAATTGTTAACTTAAAAAATTGCAATATATTGAGGACCTTGATGCTATTATTATGTGAATTATGAAAGAAAAAGATGTCGAGACAATATAAATAAAGAAATTCATCGCAAGAAGAATCTTATAATAACAATGAGACGAAGAATCTTATAATCACAATGAGAAACACAATCTATAACATAAGAAGCAAATTATCTTTTGGCCTAGTGTTTCTCAATTCATATAATTAGTTGATCTGCTATGTGTATGCATAGATAATTCTTTAGCATGTTATAATGATATATGTAAGCTAAAACATTTTATATGATGACCTATTCAAAATAGTTTCAAAGTATTTCTAAAAAATTGAAGTTTTATTAATTTTTAATAAAATATGATGAATAATTAAAAATGTGAATGTCAACTATTACATAGAAAGCCATACTTTTAATGCTTGCTAGTGCACATTGATTGATAATAAGTCCATGTGAATGCTAAAAAATTTTGAATGCTTATAAAAATAATATTAAGGAAAAAAAAGGTCTATAAAAGGTCATCTTATATGGATAGATTGGCAAATGATGATGGATTGTAAAAGGAGAAATAGAAGTTCTAATTAAATGAGCCTCATAATGGGTCAAAAGATATTCCCAACTCTATTCTTAGACTTAGTATATGATGTGCTCCATCCTTGAAATGATGGACAACTAATAAATTGTCATTTTGAATTAAGTATAAATCTTATTAGTATTTATTATAGCTGACGGACTAAACGATTACAAAAGGAGACGAATATTTCAAATAGATATCACATCACACTTTTAAGACTATCATCAACATAATGAGAAATAAAATTAAACCAAATAATTTCATACATTAATGGACTAATATAGTGCATTAAATGATTTACATGAAAAATTCAATCCTCTACGCCACAAAGGCTAATATAGATAATTTTCTCAAAGAATGATTTTAAAATTCTCCTCTCGCAATCTAATACAACTAACCCATTACCATGGATGGTAATCAAATATTCAACCGGAAAATTTGTTAAAACTATTATATTCAAATTACATACAATCTTCAAGGACTTTTATTAAAAAAAAATAATAGTAATTTCAAAATGAAAACTCATTGAATCATGCCTATAAGGGCTTACCACAAGTTTTAGCCTCCTATACATATGAGATAGAAGTTGATAGGGTTTGTATCGTAATGAATGCAAGAGAACATATGTAAATTATGAACTAGATACTACACACACAAAAAGCAAGTTCATAAGGTACAAAATAATTAAGTCTATTAATTCAAATATCCCAATTGAAAGTAAATATCAACTTATGGAAACTATATTTAAAAAAAACAAGAATTTAAGATTATTGCCTTAAGCTTTAATTTAAATAAAAAGGCAAAAAAATCAAGAATATTATATAATTTAAAACAATCAAATATAAAATAACTCTTTAATTTTAAAGAACTAATCTATCCATCCTTAGCGATAGATGATCAAGAGTGACAAATTTAATATTAACTTAAAATCATAAAAAGATTATCATAGCATGTTTAGCTAGATGATTACTCTCAAAGAACTCATGCAATTAATTGCATGTTATGTATCATCTGACAAGATGACTTTGATAACAAAAAACACAAAAAATAAATGATGATGATTGAGGCCCTACGAGCATGTCATTCATTGTAGAATAACATCATTAAATTATGATCACGGCTAAAAATCATGAGTTCCCTAATAGTCTAAATCATCAAATTGGTGAACGATAGAGTGCACTTGACAAAGCATAAAACATTTTGTTAGTCGAGGCCAACTTAAAATTGTCCTCATTTAAAAAAATTCCTTTAGATGACGCTACAAATAGTTGCATAAGAATCATTTGGTCAAATTGGGTCGACTGTCTCCTCTAACTAAATAGTTCAACATTCATAACAACTAGATAAGACTTGTAAAATATTTATCGGGTTTATCATCATTTCCCCATCCATCAACTTAAAAGCTAAAGGCAACATATTTTCTCAAACATAAATGGAAACAGCTGCTACTATATGCTAAATATTTAATAGCTAATAACTAGCCTTAATCAAATGTTCTCTCTCATGAATTGGAGAAATAATAAATCAAAAGAGCTTGAGCCTATGGAAAACCTGAAACCATATCATAAAAACCTGTATAATATGAGAGCAAAATTTCAAGATAATTTCTGATATTAAAATCCAATATTTCTAAAAATTTAGTTGAATAACCTCTCACAAAAGAGTCGGGCGCATTTCTGGAACCACACCAGTCTAGAATAATCTACAAATCACATGAGTTATATTTATAACCCAAAATAAGTAACTTTTCACAATCCACTAAGACCTAGTCAAAACTATAAGCTTCAATTCACACACTTGGATATCAAAAAGTTTCAAATTCATCCCAGACATTAAAAAAGAGAGGAAAAAAATATATTTATATGTATATACATACAACATTGCAAACAAGATAGGTCGGGCATATCGAACAATAGAAAACTTTGAATGAAGTAACTAGAAATTTCATCGAAAGAAAGAACTTTATGAGAGGCACACTTGGATCCTGTGAATCTCAGCTTGCACCCCCAGCATGTGAATTCCCATAAAAAGGAAACTCATGGCTAAAACTACATTAAGATTCATGAGTATGCAAAAATCCAAAAGAACCAAAAAAATTGCAAGGCTTGGAATCAAAAAAAAAAAACAAAAAATATTGATGCAACCATATAAGAGGAAATTATAATTAGTAACGAAATTGGCAAGGAAAAAAATAAAAGGACTTGCAAAAATATATCAAAATATAATCAAAATTGCAAAATTAAATAAAAAACACATAATGTTCATCTAATGTTTACTTTTAGTACTTCTAATGAGTATAAACATTTTAATTTCCACAACGCACTTCTCTCAAGATTCTCTTGATTTATTCACTCTCTCTTGAAATTCTTTGTAGAGTGATAACTCCCTATCAACCTCTCAGACCCTCTCTTGATTCCTCTCGCAAGCACACAAAAAGAGAAGGTGATCAACCCTAATATATGAAAAGAAGGTGAATTAGGATCAACGGTTTTTTATTTCATCACCAACCAAAATGGCTAACATTTAGAAGACTAAACTATGCCTGCAGCCTTCAGGAGATTAGCGTTTGACTTTGAAATTAAGGAGGATTAAAGTAGGTCTAACGGAGGTCTTTCAAAAGGCAACGTAAAAGGTAGACCATCTGGAGGCTAACCTAAACTCTACCTCATTGCACAAAAAGGATCGAACATCTTGCACATGCCTGTCATATGGCTGTCATTAAAAAGGATAGCTATTTCCATGAAGATTCAGCCAGCAATCAAGGAAGGGCGACCTGGACTCCCAACTACAGGTTCATTTATCATGCTTAAATAGTTTTTATCATTTTGAGTTTGCAAAATCTAATTACAAGAGAAACACAACAGAGAAATAATTAGCACAAAAAAGAAGGAAATCTATTAACATAAATTGCATAATATAAAATAGAAGTAAAAAATAAAATCAGCAAGAATAATGAAATCGTCAAATAAAAGAAATGAAGCCAATATAAGAAAATGTACATCAACAAGCTTCCGAGCGATTTTTTTTTCACCTTAGAATCATTTTCATCAAAAATTTCACCAACAATTTCTTCAACAACATCTTCCAAAGTCACGATCTGCATGGCGTTTGAAAATAATGTTAAACTTGCCCAACATAAGGTTATCTAGAGCAAAATAAAATACAAGCTATAAAAGCATGCATTCAACTTCAGCAACTAATGTAAGCATAAACATCACAAGCCATTTTATTGCAGCAATTAAGTTCTCAAAAGGATGAATTGAATTCGCATTCCCGAATGACTTTTCTAATTTGGTTTATTTGATACGAATTGGTTGCTGGCTGTCATTATGCATTAAAATCTATGCCTTTTGATAGAGAGATATTATAGTGAAAAGTTACAGAATTATGCTTGTTTTTCTTCTCATTTTTAGATGCCATTAGGGTCTGATTACTTCGTCAAAAGAATATGGCAGATGAAAACAGACATGCCTCACCGGATTAAAGCAAGGATAGAGAGAAGCAACATTAATCCATTCTTTTCCGTGGATCACTCAACACTCAAACCTACTTACAAATTCAATGATAAGAACGTCTTCCAGTGCACATGTTTGATCCAAACGTTTGCACATTTTTAGAGGAAATATTAGAAAACTTGACGCCAATATAACAGATCCCTTCTATACAAGTTGAGATGCTAACAATGCATAAGTGATGCTTTATCCTATCAACTCCATGGAAAAGCATATTAGCTCTCTGATGTTGGACGCGAGCCTTTCCCATGGTACCACAGTATCCAGCTCCCATGCAGCAGGAGTCTCGACCTTACCGAGCATTTTTTTTTTTTTTTTCCTCTCTTCATTTTCTTTGCTTCCTTCCTTTTTGATTCTTGCCTAATTTTCTATTTTATAATTAGGCTCCAAGATATTAGGGACTCATATATGTTGTATTCTGATTTTCTAGACTAGTTTTTCAGTTTTTTTTTTTTATTATTTTGAAAGTTGGTTCCCTGATTTTTCGCTCTCCAGAGTGTTAAAGCATCTTCCCTTCCCAAGTGTAGTTCATGTAGCTTGCCTATGAACAGATGGAAGATTATTTTCGCAGTCCGCACCTCTACGATTCACCGTTTGTCCGTTGCTGTCAGCCGGATAATTCTTATTAGATATGAATTGGATGCTGGCTGCATTGTGTATTAAAATATATGCCTTCTGAAAGAGATATTATAGGTAATAGAATTGTGCTTACTTTCTCCTCATTCTTAGATGGCATTAGGGGCTGATTACTTCGTCAAAAGAATATGGTCGATGATGACAGACACGCCTTCACCGGATTAAAGCAAGGATAGAGAGAAGCAACATTAATCCATTTTTTTTAAGGGATCACTCAACGCTCAAATCTACTTACAAATTCAATGATAAGAATACCTTCCAATGTTCACGTTTGATTCAAATGTTGGCGCCTCATTCTCTCTCTATGAGTTGTATCCTTTCCTTTAACAGGTGATTTTTATCCTTCGTGGAGCTCCGACTCTATATTGGTCTACAGGTGATTTTTATCCTTCATATACATTTCACACATCCTTTCCCGCATCGCTCCCACATTCCCTTCATCGTTTGCCTGTTGTCGCTACCCAAAAAATAAGAAACTTGCTATTTTATGTGTCTTACATGTTGACGCCAAGAGGCAACGGCTGCCTTGCCATTCTTCCCTTCCAGTTTGCTAGCTACCTCCTTGCCACCACCACAGAGATCCAAACCCTGACCGACACCAGCTACACCATATTTTCTAGTATTTACCATTGTTATTTATTTTCAATTTGTTATATTTTCAATTCCTGACTTATATAAAAATGCTAGTGATTGTGTTGTATTTCTCCTCACCATATTTCCATATCGATTCTGGCATTATTTGGTATCAGAGCTAGCCTAATAATAGATTCATCCTAGGGTTACTAAAACCCACCAATACCTGACCCAAACTTCACCCAAATTCCTATCTCCTTGCTGATTTGCCCCCCCCAAAGAAACCTCCCATATACACTTTTTTCCACCCCTAACATAAACCTCACTGAGGAGACAGATACTGGATACTGAAAGGGATCTTAACATGGAGGAAATACATCAAAAAATCCTCTGATTTCAGCAAAGGAGTTACGCCTGGAACTGGTCTAGGCCTTGGACAGGTCGAAGGCCACCAAACCGGCTCACCACAACAACAAGCAGGCTGATCCCTTTCACGCGAAACAACTAAGGGGTCCACGAGGAGCTTAATCAAATACTCAAGAGAAGATAAATTAAGGGAGTTTGGAGGGACAGCTTAAAAGAAAGTTTTTGAAATGTTGTGAGAGGATTCTATTAAGGGGAGTAACATAGGGTTTGTTTTTTTATACATATTTTTATTTGGCTGTTGTTTTCTTTCTTCGTGTGGTGTTCCTAGCGATGTATAGGGCGTGGGAAAAACGATCTACCTCTCAAAAAGTAGATCATCCTTGTATTTTGCTTGTTTTCCTTTGATTTTTGTAAGAGCAGCCATTGTTTGTGGTTTTTCCACCTATCTATTATTGTTTCATCGTTGCTTGTTCGCTGATTTGAGTCCTGAGACGTATCAAATTGGTATCAGAGCATATATCTAGGTGGGATGGCAGCAAAAAAAGTAGATGTGCTGAAAGGAGAGGTAGGGCAAATCAGATCGGGAATGAAATAGAGGTTCGCCGGCATAGAGGACAAGTTTTTTTCCATTCAAAGAGGAATGGATGATGGATTTGATAGCATGGGAAAAATGCGGGGGATGATGAAAAAACTCATAGAGATGCAATCCAAGGCCGTGTTGATCGCTCCAGATGGAAACCCTAACCAAGGGTTGATCAGGGAATCCTTAGTCAGGCCAAAAGGGAAGGAGATCGAGCGAGAAGACAACAAAGAAAACATCATCTACCTATAAGAGCATCCCCTAGGACTTCGAGAGGAGGGGGAGTGGAGACTTTCGATGGAGGGGGTGGGCCGAAAATTGGAGGGATGGTGTAAGGGGCACGAAAGAGCACGGTTTAGGAAGGAAGGAATCGGGAGTGAGATATGCTTATGATCAAAGGAGAAAGTTCCACCCAGGATACATGGGGGGAAATACAGAAAGAGGAGGTTGAGGTGGATGCACATGAGTGGGTGTATTGGGTGAAGCGATACTTTGCAATCAATTTGTTAACGGGACAAGAAACTCATGAAAGCAGGATTATGCTTGGAGGGAAAGGCCTCAGCATGGTTTTAGTGGATGGGGGAAATATATCTAATGCACTCATGAGAGGAGTTTAAGGATTGACTGTTGGAACATTTCCCAGCCACTAGAGAATGAGACCTACGCGAGCAATTCTATGATCTGACTCAGAAGGGGATGGGTACGAAATATCGGGAGAAATTCGAGCTCTTATCAATGAGTTCGAGGGGGATTTCTACAGCAGGACTGGAAGGGGCTTCTTGAAAGGCCTAAAGCATAACATACGAGCAATCATCCTCCTCTTGAGACCTTGAGGATTGAGGGAAATAATGGAGCTTGCCCAGATGATGAAAGATGAGCAACATGTGAAAAAGACCAGCAAAGGCGGCAACTGTAGAGGATTCTACAAAAGCACCTTGACAACCACGACACCGAGGACCCAGACGGTGTCATTTCAGAAAGAGATGTCGAAGAAGAAGAATACAGAAACCTATCCCGAGAGTAACTTCAAGCGCCTCACAGATGCAAAAGTGAAAGATAAAAGAGCCAAAAGATTGTGTTACCGTTGTGACGTGAAATATGTCCAGACCTACGTTGCAAGGAGCGCGCCCTTCAAATTCTTTTAGTTTAGGAGGAGGAACCAAATAGTGAGGAAACAGAGGAGGAGCATCTGCACTTGGATGTGTCAAGGTTGTCCCTCAATTCGGTGGTCGGATTTCCTCCAAATCACACCATGAATATGAGGGAGTGGATCGGGGAATAACCAATTGTGATATTGGTGGATAGCGAGGCCACATAACTTTATCTCAAATCAAGTTGTGGAGAAGCTAGGGTTAGAGCTGATGACCACAGGGAGTTTCGATGTCATGATGGGGATAGAGAAGGTGGAGAAAAGTTGGGGAATTTGCAAAGGGTTGCTGCTGACACTACATGGCTTACAAGTGATGGAGGACTTCCTACCCTTAGATTTGGGTAGCACATATATGATTTCAGGTATGAAGTGGTTGCGAAAGCTATGAGAAATGAAGATGGATTGGAAGTCCCTGAAGATGAAATTTCAAGTAAAGGTAGAAAGGTGATGCCGAAATAAGATGCTAGTTCGCAAAACTAAGGTGTTGCGCAAAACCATTGTCAAGTCGATTCAAGGAGCAGGGCTGGGCTACTTTTTTGAGTTGCTGAGCATCGAGATGATTTGAGATTTAGAGTTGGGAGGGTTTCCTGAAGGGGTCCAGCAGCTCCTACAGTGGTTTGCAGAAGTCTTCGAATAGCCAAGCGGGTTACCTCCCCCAAGGGAGCACGAGCACGCTATTACATTAAAGGAGGGTATAACCCCTATTAGTATCAGACCATACAGGTAACCCCAGATTCAGAAGAATGAGATAGAGAAGTTAATCCGAGAGATGCTCGAGGCTGGGATCATCAGTCCTAGCATGAGCCCTTTTTCTAATTTAGTCTTGTTGATGAAGAAAAAAGATGGTAGTTGGAAATTTTGCGTGGACTACATGGCTTTGAACAAGAAAATGGTGTTGGACAATTTTCTTATTCCTGTGATTGATGAGTTATTGAAAGAGCTTTATGGGACAATCATTTTCTCAAAAATTGATCTTAAGTCGGGATACTACCAAATCAGGATGAATCCACCGGATGTGCACAAGACAACATTGAGGACACATGAAGGAAATTACGAGTTTTAAGTGATGATGTTTAGCACCAACGCCCAAGCGACATTTCAGTCCCTTATGAATAGGGTTTTTCAACATTACCTCAAGAAACTTGTCATGATTTTCTTTGATGACATTCTGGTCTACATTCGTACAGAGATCGAGCATGTGGGGCACCTAAGGGCAGTCTTGGAGACATTGAGGGAGCACCAGTTATATGTCAACTTGAAGAAATGTTTCTTTGCACAGT